AAAGTCCATTAGTGTGGACACTTTTGGAGTTTGTTTGTTGTGGGACATGTGATCGTCCCAGAAAGTCAATTTTCTTTGACACAGTTTAAATAGTTGTTTCTGGGACAGGTGTAATTTCCAGATTGTCCATTTGCGCCGACGATGTTACGCTGGACATTAGTTTTGTAAAAGTGTGTCCCCAGACATCTATCTGACGTGACGAGGTTGTGCTGGAAGATTTTTCTTCAAAAGTTGTTTCCAAAACCTTTATCTGAGTTGACGAGGTTTTCGTTGGTTTTGATTCTGTGACGGGCATTTGTTTGCGTAGAAACAGAGGAGGCTGAACGGGTTGGGACTAAAGTGAAAGTTCTTCTGTTTTGTGCTTGAGTACGTCCGTCGGGTCTTTTTATGCTCCCTGGGCTGGTTTTGTGGTTTTAGACCTAAGCTCTTCTTTGCAATTTTTCAGTTGCTCCAAACAAGCTTTTAGATTTTTCTCTGCTGAAACCCGTTTTTTGTTCTCCAGAGAAAGGAAGTAATTCTTTCTGGCAAAATGTCCACCTGGTGTTTGCTCAAGTCTTCAAGGAGGATGTGGGGAGGTGGTGACCAAACCAGATTGATGGGATTGCTTTGAGAATGCTAAATGAGTTAATATCGCAGGCGAATAGTGGCTACAATGGCTACATTGTCTGCCTCCTGACGATTGTCATGGAGTAAGAGAGACAGTTGTGTGGTTTCCAGGTTGTGAGAGTTGTGGGTGAAGGACATTGCAGTAGGCGGGCGGTTGACAGGGCGGGGGGGCTTTGGATATTGGTAGGGAAAACACAATTAAAAAATGTTGTGCAACTAGTCCCAATTTTCTGTAATTTGCCACAATGTTACTGTATTTTGGTTACATTTCTCATGATAACTACAATGCTAATTAACTTAGCCTTATTATCGCATTTCCAGCATTAAATTAACATCAATGCTAATTTTTAATCAACCGTTGGTGATGAATAGGATTTGCTGAGTTGTTTTTTCTCTGTTTGTTGGGTATAAGTAAATCCGTTCGTGCCTGTGTGTTTGTGAGAAACAAGCCAAAGTCGCTTTTTTTGGTCCCCCGACACAAGGCAAAGAGGGGAAATTGGAAATACCCAGGTCAAAATTCAATATGGCCCCCGCCAAATATATCTGTAAACATGATAACTTGAAAAATAATTGAGTTACCAACATCCATTTTAGTGTGTGGCTACATATACACGTCAGAAAGATTCCTTTTGAAAATTGGGTTACTACATCAAAATCCAAGATGGCTGCCACCATAAGTGTCCATCCATGTTGTAAACTGGATGACTTGAAATATAAGTGAGGTACCAACTTCCATTTTTGTGTGGTTACATCCAAGTGTAAGAAAGGTCCCTATCGAAAATTGGGTTGCCACGTCACAATCTAAGATGGCCACCTACATATATATTTATGTAAACCACCCCTATCGTTTGAGGAAACTATGCTTTGTAGTTTTTATTTTGCTTGAAATTAAAGTTTCTTGAAATGAATGGGGCGGCAGAAGATTAAATCTATGGTGGTCGAGGCCACCATTGGCCGCCCCCTGACTCTGCTATTGTGCCTGGTGGTAGATAAAATGGTTCCCTCCACTCGACAGGATCCGTCACTCTGCCTCCTTGGACAAGACCAAAAAAAACCTCTATTTTTCTACACAGTGTAACTTCTACCCACGTGAATTTATTGCACCAAAAACATTTAGGTTTACTTGCATTCCCTGTTCAACTCCAGTTCAGAAATACATTCATCTCAAAAACTACAAACATTCATATTCACATCTTTCAGCGACGGGACCGGCTTACCGCTTCTTTACAAACTTGATGAACTGCAGACAATCAACTTTAATCATAGATTGTTTTCTAATTGCATCTCAGCCCTCTGAATTGTCAGCTAATTGTGAGGTTCTTAAAGATCCCCCCCTCCTCCCACCTCCACTTTGAGACAGGATATAGACTCCAGCGACGACCATGAATATTTCTAAAGAAAATCTGTTGCACCAAATTTCTGAATAAAATTAAAATTCCCACAACTTTCATTTCTTTAACACCTGACTCTTATAACAAGTAGATGAGCAAAACACAAAAGTCCATGCTCAATAATCCAGGTATACAATCCAACGTTTTTCAGTCAGGTCACCTGGACAGTTTCTTTTTTTTTTTGTGTTGAAACGTTTCGCCTTCGATCCAGAAGGCTTCATCAGTCAAGGAAGCACACAACAAAACTGATTCTTCCCCCAACAGCTTACTCCAAAGTGGAACAAACCAGTTCTGCTTGTGATAAGATGGTCTCTTTGGTACGCCCCTCCTCCATTGCCGGCCCTCTTCCACAGTCTTGTCAAACTGGTTGAAAACAAAAATTGGGGCTAGGTGTAGGGGGAAAAAAAATCAGTCAAGAGTTTTATTGGCTTTAATCCCTGTGCGCTTAGCTGGTACTTACACTGTGCTGTGTCTTACCTAATTAACCATATATCAGTCTGTGGCTGCAGCCAAATGAAAGTATTTTCACATTACCTCCGTGAAGTCCTGCAGTAAGAAGTGATTGTTCAACTCAACATCCTGCATGGTGTTTGTGTTGGAGCACGCCGCTTCACAGGAAATGCTTCATCGCAGCTGGACTTTTCCCCATCTCAGTGTTTCTGCCCAGTGCTTCCACTCTGTGCTGGCGTTATATTCCTGTTCAGCCAAACCACCGTGTGATCTGAGCTGAGCGGTGACAGAGCAGCAGCTCGAGCGCCATTAGCAGACGGTCTGAAGGTATTAGAGGCAGAGATTAGGGGCCATGAGTAAACTGGTTGATCTGCAGCAAGTACCTCTTTGACTCATAATAAAAACTGATTGATCATTCAACGTTTAGTCAAGGCTCTGCAATCTTCACAACCAAAAGAGAGAGTTTTGTTCCTTCTCTGGCTAATGAAACCATTTTCAGATCCACAGAAATGTTATACAAGGAAAACACTACTCGTGTTTTAAATATTTCATTAAAAACAGCTTACAGCTTCTTTACAAACTTGATGAATTGCAGATACAGTAATCAGCATTTATCATTTGTTTTCTAATTGCATCTCAGCCCTCTGAATTGTCAGCTGTGAGGTTCTTAAGACCCCCCCTCCTCCCCCCACCTCCACTTCGAGGCGAGTTATAGACTCCAGCCATGACCCTGAATATTTCCAAAGAAAATCTGTTGCACCCAATTTTTGAACAAAATAAAGATTCCCACAACTTTCATTTCTTTAACACCTGACGACATGGAGACGAGGCTGAAAATCAGAAAACGAGACACCAAACGTTTTTAAATGTTTTTGTATTTTATATCTTCTTAAAAAGATCTGAAGCCCTCGACCTTGACCTCTCTAAGTGCCTTCAAACATCTGCTCGTTCATGGCAAAAACCATGACATGTTCCTGTTTTTAGTATTTTACAGCGCTTTACAGTTTAGCTGTTTTTGTTGTTTTTTTATACCATTTATTCTTCTCAATTTACACACTTTCTTTTATGATTGTCTATTGTTGTCTGTTGTCATCACTCTTTGTTAAAATCAGGTGTCTTTTGTAAAATGAGTTCCCGAGGATCACTGAGACTAACCTGTATAAATAAAGGTTGAATGAATTTAAATTTCATGTACTGCTATGGATGAGACCATTTTTGAATGGTACAGTTTATGCAATATCTTGATTTTTGTTTGTTTGTTTGTTTTTGTTAAAGGTGTTTAGACCCTTTAATCAGCTTTTACTAAAATCATCCAGCAGCTACACCTGTCCTTGATTCAGCTTTTCCAACTCTACCTTCCCAACTGTATGAGTCCAGACTGCACACACCCGTCAAATTACCAGGAAAGCCCAGAGACTAATCAGGCAAGAAGGATTTTATATAATAACTTCCTAAATGCAACAAAACTAAAAAGCTGCAAAACTGTCTGTTCAGGCAGGAAGGTCGCCTGAAGGACCAACCTCTCTTCAGCAAGGAAGTGGGTACTCTATAAGACCTGGGTTTACCTCAGAATAAGTTTAAAACTTACCCAGAAGTTGTTTTTGGATTAAGTGCTCACAGTCAAACTTTATGAAATGTAAAAATATTAAAAGGCATGTAGGTTACAACTTTGATTTTTTTGCTAACTGTGACTCAAATGTCCTCATGTAAGCACACAAAGACCCATTCTCTGCTAGCTTCAGTCCTTTATCTTCAAGTCCCTGTTTGTTTTGAATCTGCTGGACCCCAGAATTCAGGCTCCATCTCTCGCGTGGGAAGACCCATGGTCATGGGTCACCTGTGGACCCACATAGGAACACACTATTTATCTCGCTCGGGGTGCTGGAATAGTTGAGCCCAAAGTTGATCTTTCCAACAGAATGGCTCAGAATCAGAACCTGATATCGCACGTTTCCTTCAGCAGACCCAACAGGTCGACGTGGGGTCAGTTCCTGACTGATGACATCAAAAGTCAACTTTGTTCATCCTTCTATCCCTTACAGTAATCTATTGTAACATGCATAATGGTGTCAGTAGTTTGCTGGGGGGTCAATACTTTATTTTATCCAGATTTATTTGACATTTGAATTGCTCCCAGTAGATGATTTTGTTAGTTATTTACCTAAACAAATCATAGTTTGACACAAGCTCCATTTGAATGATTAAGATGACTAAACTTGTCAAAGAGGAAAAGGTTTCTTCACATTGAAATGAGAGTTGCAGTAGCTCTAAAAAGTTCCACAAACGTGTGTTTTCTGTCTCCAGGTCTGTCTTTGAGGCGGTTAAGCACAGCCTGGTTCTCAACAGTACACACAAACACGCCCCAGCACAGGTGAGTTTATTGTTAAACTGGATGATTTGTCTAAACATGGTATTTAAATAAAAAAAACTAGCCATTTTAAATCCAATAAAATGTTTATCGAACATAAAATGTATATCACTGCTAAATAATGGCTTCACTGAACGGATGAGGTTAATGATTCGTCTGGTTAAATATCAGTCTTGGTGTGTGAAGCAGGAGGATGGCGGTGAATGTTTACTCTACTTCTATGACTGCTGACAACCTGAGTCGTCACGACATGCTGGCGTGGGTCAACGACTCTCTACAGCTCACCTACACAAAGATCGAGCAGCTCTGTTCAGGTAAACACACACTTCTTTTATGCTGAACTAAGTTTATATCAGGCTGCCATGAATATGTTGCTTGTTTTTGTCGTAGGAGCTGCTTACTGCCAGTTCATGGACATGCTGTTCCCAGGGTGCATACTGTTGAAAAAAGTCAAATTTAATGCTAAACTGGAGCACGAATACATCCACAATTTCAAGGTTTTACAGGCTGCGTTCAAGAGGATGAACGTGGACAAGGTGAGCACTCTGGTTCATGACATCTTCAACCTTTTTGTTGCAAAACTAACGTTACTTTTTGTTTCCCCTTCGTCTTTTTAAGATCATACCCGTGGAGAGATTGGTGAAGGGGAAGTTCCAAGACAATTTTGAGTTCCTGCAGTGGTTTAAGAGGTTTTTTGACGCCAACTATGATGGGAAGGAATACGACCCTATACTGATGAGGCAGGGCCAGGAAGGGACGCCACCTCCACCTAATCCAGGTAAAACACACACACACAAGAGTGTGTGAGAGAGAGCGAGACGTTGGCTGTGAATACATCAGCGCTTCATTTAATCACTTTCACCTCCACATAATCACATCCCCACCTCTAACCCAGGTGAACTCATTCATCCTAAACCTAAAAGTAAAAGACCGTCTCGCTCAGGTAACATCTCCATTTAACGTGTGTGTGTGTGTGTGTGTGTGTGTGTGTGTGTGTGTGTGTGTGT